GTTGGTTTGGTAGTTCCTTAGTCTTCAGGGACCCAAGTGTCTTCCAGTACATGACTATATCATCCCTAGGGTACATCCTCATCTTTATGGTCCAAGATGGTTGCTAGGGCTCTAACCATCATATTTACATTGCAAGAAGCAGAGAATAGGAAGGGGAAGATATTGGTACATTGCCTCCTTTTAGTTACACTTCCCAGAAATCCATACATTTTTACTTAAGTCTCATTGACTAGAATTTAGAAAAGTGGCCACTTCTAGCTACAAAGGAGTCTGAGAAATATCCGCTATATTCTGGGCAGCCATGTGCCCAACTAAAAATCCAAGGTCATTGTACTAAGGAAGAAGAGAACAATAGGGAGGAGCAATGTGCAGTCCCTGCCTAATCCTAGAAGTTAATAATTTGCTTTGGTTTTATTCTTTAGGTCAATGGGGAAGAAATAATTGAAGGTTTGCACCCTGAAGGAAAATGCTCTCCTTACCAGATGAAAGGATCAACAAATTTGAGTATGTCCAAAGTTAATTTCCCAAATCAGCCATCCAGTTACTCTACAGGCCCTGATAATTCAGGTGAGAAAGAAATATTAAGATAACCTTTTTTATTTGTCTTGCATGTTATTGTAGCTTTAAAAGGAAAGATTGTTCTTTAAACAAAAAACTCCCAAAAGAGTAATACTGTTAATTGCATTATTATACCAATGTCCAACATCCATCTCTGAGACTAAAACTCTTTTTTAAATGGTTGGAAAGATACCTGTTTTGTTCAATAGTATTTCTTGTACCTTCTGAAGCAACAATTCATTGGCTACCAAATAGTTTAGAAAATTTCTCTTAGGGGTGTTTGGACTGACCTATTACATCATTAATTTTTGTAACTTCTATATGTGTGTTTCTTTCATTAATTGATGTGAGATTAATTTAAGAAAGAAACATTTATTATTAATGTCTCATGAAAATGTATATCAGGCAAATTGGCATATGGCTAAATATAAATTTATACATATGTGAGAACAGATAAAGGTATCTATAAACCAAAACAACAAACCATTACAACACATAGCGACCCTGTAAGACAGAGTAGAATTGCCCCATAAAGATTTCCAGGGCTGTGATCTTTATGGAAGAAGATTGCCACATCTCTCTCCTGTGTAATGGCTAGTGGGTTCAAACTGCCAACCTTTCAATTAGCAACAGAGTACTTAACCACTGTGCCACTAGGGCTCTGAATTATCTATAAACCAAAAAACCAAACTCACTGCCATTGCGATTCCAACTCATAGCAACGCCCTTTGGGTTTCGAAGACAGTAAATGTTTACAGAAATAGAATGCCCAGTCTTCCTTCTGTGGAGTGGCTGGTGGGTTTGAACCCCAGCCTTCTGGCTAGCAGTCAAGTGCCGTAGGCACTACACCATATGTTATTGTTGTTGTTATGTGCTGTCGAGGCAGACCTGACTCATAGCGACCCCTTCCTTGGGTTTCCAAGGCAGTATCACTATGGAAGTAGATTGCCCAGTCTTCCTTCTGAGGAGTGGGTGGTGGGTTTGAACCACTAGCCTTCTGGTTAGCAGTCAAATGCCTTAGGTGCTATGCCACCAGAGCTCCCACAGGAAAACTAGAATACTGAAAAGGGAGTGTTCTGGTTACCTAGTGCCTCTCTGACAAGAATATACCACAAATGGGATGGCCTTAACAAACAGGAGTTTATTCTTACACTTTGGAGGCTTTAAGTCTGAGTTCAAAGTGCCAAGCTCCAGGGGCCAGGTGAAAGCCGCTCAACCTTGGGCTTTAGCACTGCCTCCTGCTTCTGGCCCACTGAAGCTGGAGGCTTTTCTTCACTCAGCTGCTGGCTGCTGAGGCTGACAAACCCAAGGTCAACAAGTAACAAGGCACAGTCCCAATATTACAAAACCATATGGGAGACCATTAATTCAAGTCCTTTAAAAGTCCCAAGATTGGCAGAGCATGGCAGGCTGTGGAACAACAACTTGGCTACATGCAGGGTTCAAGTGTGCCACGAGCTAGAGACCATTCCCAAAGCTGCTGCTTATATATGGGAAGCAGACCACATAACAAAAGCAGCTAATCAGCTGCTTATGGTAGATCCCACCATAGAGTTGATTGCCAGTCTCGTTGTGGGGAATAACTACCACCAGCTGCCCAGCCACTCAACCAGGCCCAGCCAAGATGACACACAACCTTAACTACTACAGGGAGCAAACTGAGCACAATTAAAGAGAATGTTGACACACTATGATAAATATTACTACTGTCACTGAACAATTTGTGTAGGAATTGTCACATGGGACCCTAACTTACTGTGTAAACTTTCACCAAAAACTCAATAAAATAGTATGTTTAAAAATAAAAAAAAGTATATCATCAGCATTGATTTTGGTTTATTCTTTGCAAGTTGCAGTTAAATTTTGTGGTTTTTCCAAAGGATGCCCATACCCCATTGCCATTGACTCAGTTCCAACTCGTAGTGACCCTATAGAACAGAGCAGAACTGTCCCATAGTTACCTTGTGTAATCATTACACAAGCAGACTGCCATATCTTTCTCCTGCTGAGCAGCTGGTAGGTTCAAACTGCCCCTTTTGGTTATCAGCAAAGCACTTAACCACTACACCACTAGGGCATCTTCCTTTTTAAAGTAGATAATTAAAATCTATTTGATACTGTCTCTTTCACATATCAATATTTTTAAAACCCCATGTAAATTATTGTATTTCAAGAATCTGGTGTACAAGAAGATGATGTTTACGATGATCCTCAAGAAGCTGAAGTTATCCAGTCTCTGTTGGATGTTGTGGATGAGGAGGCCCAGAATCTTTTAAACCAAAATAATGCAGCAGGAGATGCCTATGTTCCAGGTAGGTGAGCTGAACAACTAAGTTAATACACTGATGAATACCAGGACATCTCTAGGGAGCATTTTGGAGTAAATAAAAATACATTCATGGTTCCCTTATTCCTCATTGGTGGGTAATAAATATAGAACTGGTTATCACATATTTTTTATTTTCCATCAAATAATTGTGGGTGGGCTACCTTATTAGTGAGATCTAAAATTTTATCATTATTATCATGGTTGTTACTTTTAGAAGTTTTTGCCTAAACATTTTCCCCTAGTTGACACTAAGCCATTCTTGAGGCATTCCAATTATAGCAGATAAATTCAAATAGAAATTTTATGCTCATGTCATTTTTCTGTTTTAGTTAGAACATTGAAGCTATTTGTGGATATTTGTTCATTTTGTAGGTAAATGAAGAAAATTTCCTACTGCCTCAAGTGGTGGCATTGATTGCCCTTGGTGTGTTTATTTCTCTCACAGGCACATTGAAGACCAATGGGAAGTTGTCAGAAGAGAGAGCAGAAGATACAGACTGTGATGGGTCGCCTTTACCTGAAGATTTTTCTGAGGTAAGGATAAAACCTACATGAATACTCTTAGGTTGCTATACCTTGTTGAATTACATGTTTTGATCCAGAAATTGAAATAATATGAGATTGATGCTTATTTTACTGAAAAATTATATTTGAGAGAAAACAGAAGTTAATTTCATTTGTTACATTAAAGAATCATCTTTTCCCAGTGAAAGAATCATTCCTCCAGTTTTCTCAGTTGAGCTAAGAAAAAGCTTGAAATAGTGGACAAAGTTCTCAAACTTGGCATCATTCTATTTATCCCAATCTAATCTTGTTTAGTATTCGAAAATAATTCCTCTCACTCCATCCTTCTTACTCTTCCTACTTTACATCTTCAGAAATGGTCAAAACTAAAACATGTAGATTCTAACAGTAGTTATATGCATGCATGCACTGATACACAATCTGTCGCACACAGAATTATTTTTATTAAATATTTAGAAATAATTAACATATACACATGGATTATATATAGATTAGGAATATCTGAGTGTGTGTGTGTATAAAAGAAAGCTTATTATTGTAGACTGCATTTTTTAATCTACAGAAATGATTGTACAAATATTAGATATTTCAAAATGTAGCATTTTCTAGTGTTACTTAAAATGTTCTTACATGCTGTCAAGATAGTGGTAATTTTAGCAATAATAAGCTCTTCAAAAAAATGTTTTCTAAATACTTTTAAGTCATACTAATTATATTTTTGGGAGCTCTGGTAGCATAGTGGCTAAAGCACTTGACTGCTAACCAGAAGGCTGGTGATTCAAACCCACCAGCCACTCCTCGGAAGGAAGGTTGGGCAATCCTACTTC